TCACGACATATAATGCAACTCGAGAGTTCATTTCTCGCGCTAAACCAAGCCCGAAGCTCATCACTTAGGTCTTTTCGGTTTCTTAAGTTCACAGTTATCAGGCACAGAAACTCAATGGTCGTGAGGTGTGACGGATGAACAGCTTGTTAATATGAAGAGCCATGATGTTATGAATACCTATGCCAACTCTACTATTGCATACCATGCCCACGAGGTCTATTCAAACCACCACCAACGAGCTCAGGCATTCCGTATGCCAATATACCAGTGATGTATAGTAGATGGCTTTGTCCGGAGGTTGTGGTTGCCTGTACTGAGTGCCAGCGAGCTAGTGATGGAATGATGGATGGTTGGGGCAACTGCAATATTTGGAAGACTTGAGATATGTGTTGTGGCACAAACGCCAACCTGGATTATCAGTTTCTCGCAGTTTAGGAATGAATGATTTTCGAGATAAGCTTCTTTGTGGGATTTTCCGTTGTTTGCAATGGTGTTTAAGATGTAGGAAACATACGTTTGTAGTTTTGCTTTGAGTAGGTTGAGGTGTTTGATTAAGAGAATAAACTTTGGAACTGGGTTCTCAGTGATTCTCAGAATCAATTCGGAAAATGTTGTTAGTCCGCGCAAAAGGTTATTTTGGAGTAAGATGCGAACAGTTTGGACCTGTTGGGAAGTCTGGATCGGAAGAATTGTACGAAAAGTTCGTTGTCTAATGACTTTTCTCATACGTAGCAAAATTTCTGTTACCGGATTAAGCCGGAGTTAACTGTAATGGAAAATTTGGTCTGGCATTTGTCGATCGCTTAGGTTTTTATGCCTAAGAATTGCTTTTCCAGTGTGACATAAGCTTCATAAATACTGGCATTAAGCGTACTAGGTGTGACGTATCGGTTCAATTTGTGCTGTAATGCTTTTAGTGCAGTACGTGGATCTGTAACGTCGTAGTCGTTGATGTCTATCTCCACATAACAGTACCAAGCTTCAATGCTATGAGGCCAGAATGGAAGGAGTTGAAAGTTCGTGGGTGCAATAGTCCTAATCTAAGCAGCACAGTTAAGTGTTCCGACATGATAATATAAGAAAATATGTACATGTGCAAGATTAAAAATGAAATCAAAAACGCTGACAGGACATGCGAATTGTATAACAAGGAACAGACCCACTCACTGATTGTATCAGATCACAACTTGCTCACCGGTAACGATGCCACGTGTATTCAGATTTGAAGAAAGTTCTCATCCGTAGCACTTTTTAGTCGAAAATGACCAAAGCCATGTCAAACCAGTAACCACCAATACTAGGGACCAAAGGTAAATTGGAACGATAGTTGGGATGTCGAAGAGTGGAAGGACTAAGTATACTGGTCTTTACCAGAAGATGTGTATACATTAGCACGGCGTACTAACAGCGATCTCGTGGAGATGTATGACCGAGCACCTTCACCAACGATGCGCCTATACAACCAATAAGGTCAGCAACAATGTAGAAGAGTTACAGAGTTGATCATCCCGGAGATGTTTTTACCACTACAAGTACTTAGAACCCAAATCATAAGTTAATTGCAGTGAAGCAACTCAAAAGTCCCATTAGCCAAACTACTTTATTTGTTAAAAACTGTATATGTTTAAGTCGATTTTCTTTTAGTCCTAAGGCTGAAAAGATATTTTGGCAACTAGCTTCGCCTTGGAGTATCTCGTTGTATTTAGCTGTGTTCTAAGTTATTTCTTCCAGTTATGAAATGGTCATAATTTGTTGGCCTTCATCACTCTTTCGGCCATGGGTGTCTAGAAGATGCTTTCCCATGGCCGCGTGGTTTGTCTTAGTGTAGCGAAGGTAGCGAGAGATCTCTTCCTCATCTCACAAACATTTCGTTTCTGACCATGGTAAACATGACCACGCCATGGTCACTACTTCCTGCTGGTATAGGAACATTGGCATAGTCGAGTGCGGGCTGATCATTAGTTAGTGAATAACCCAACTTTGATGGTTCTCCGTCCTTACTCTACCTAGTGACATCACACATATATTTGGTCTCCAAAATCTCTAATGGCTTTGACAAGCGGCTTTTGGAACCGTCTTGTGAGAGTTGTACCCTACTTGAGTAGATTTAGAGACCGAGCGTTGAAGTCCCCAGCTGGTAATGCTTGGTTGAACTCCTCGAGCAACCCATCTACACAGGCTTAAGTACCCGAAGAGGGCCAGTAATTACTATCAATCAAGTACTTGGTACCACTCGTGTTGAAGAAACACCAGTATGATTCCGTCACTTCAGTTGGGTAGGGTATGGTGTTACATCTTTGAACAGGTTGCCAGTGTGCAGTCCCAATTCACCTCCCATTTTCTAGACATCAACACATCTGAAGCGCATCACACTCATCAAGAATACTTTGTCAACTGCAATGTCCTAGAATAGCCAAGTTATGGTTGGAACTATGATATTCAATCTCGCCTGAGGGCACATGTTTCTGGTTCATTCTGATTTACCCCCTGGTACTTTTACATTACTAGAGGCGAATGATGGCTTGTATTGTCACCTGGTACGCCTACGTATCAGCATCCGTCCTTGAATTTTCAAACAAGCCGATTAAACCGGGTCGACAAGATCTATAAAAACTGACCACTGTAAGGTATTTGTCTGTGAATGTATTCCATTCCAGTAGTCTTTACATTGTGTTTCGTAGGTTGTCGTTTGAGTACAATCTCCATCAACAAAAACTTCACTTGGCCTTCCTGATGGTTCTTGCTGATCTAGGTCGACACTCACGACATATAATGCAACTCGAGAGTTCATTTCTCGCGCTAAACCAAGCCCGAAGCTCATCACTTAGGTCTTTTCGGTTTCTTAAGTTCACAGTTATCAGGCACAGAAACTCAATGGTCGTGAGGTGTGACGGATGAACAGCTTGTTAATATGAAGAGCCATGATGTTATGAATACCTATGCCAACTCTACTATTGCATACCATGCCCACGAGGTCTATTCAAACCACCACCAACGAGCTCAGGCATTCCGTATGCCAATATACCAGTGATGTATAGTAGATGGCTTTGTCCGGAGGTTGTGGTTGCCTGTACTGAGTGCCAGCGAGCGAGTGATGGAATGATGGATGGTTGGGGCAACTGCAATATTCGGAGACTGGACACAACCGCAATCGACTTGTCTCAATCACTGATAGTCCCAATCTACCAGAAAGGACAAAATTCTTCTTGTGACAATCACAGGGGAATAAGTCTAACTAATACATTTTCTAAATTGTTAGCCTCGATAATACTTCGACACCTAAGTAGAGGTCGTGAAAAGCAGAATCGAGAAAACCAGTCTGGTTTTCGACCTGGACGTGGTCTTGGAACACATATACATAAGTAGGCGTCCTACCATAGTTGTGTTCCTGGACCTAAAAGCGGCAATTGACTCAGTGGATCGTGAGGTTCTTTGGCAGCACCTGTCATTGAAAGGTGTACCAGAGAAGTACGTTAACGTTATACAAGCTTTGTAACCGAACACCACTGGTCAAGTTAGAGCTTATTGGGAAATGTCATCGGAATTCTCTACATCAAGTGGTGTCCGTCAGGGCTGTTTACTATCTCCATTCTTCTTTAACTTTGTCGTAGACATCGTTTTAGAGTTGACATTAAGCTCGTCAGATTTCTCAGGAGTTGAGCTTCTACCAGGAAAGTCGCTTACTGATCTAAAATATGTTGATGACATAGTTCTATTTGGTGAAGACGCTGAAAAATTGCAGTCTTCTGACTACCCTAGGCAACAATGCAAATATGTTCGGGATGCGATTTTCCCCGTCGAAATGCAAAATGATGCTACAAGACTGGGTTTCATTGGCACCTGAACTAGTGATAGGAAGTGAAGTAGTCGAACGTGTAGACCGCTTCATTTATCTGAGGAATCTCATCAGTGCTGATGACCTGGTGACTGAGGAAATCTGAGCTCGGATACAGAAGGCTCGATTGGCTTTTGTCAATTTACGCTGTTTATGGCGTAGGCGAGATATCCGTTCGCTAACCAAAGCACGGGTGTACTGCGTAGCAGTTCGCTCCGTTCTCCTATATGGATGCGATACATGGCTGTTAAGAGTAGATGTTCGTAGTCAGTCAGATGCAACGTAGAACTTCGTACGTAAGTACATCAGTTCATGTCGCCATACCACATCAGCACAGAGATGTTCGTAGGTTGCTAGTATTCGACCATAGATGTTTGAGAAGCATTGCTCGTATATCGTGGGACAACCGAGTAAGCAATTCTGTCGTTAGGAAACGAGTACTAGATAAGGATGGAAGATCAATAGATGAAGTGGTGAAACCTAATCAGTTGAGTTGGTTACGACACGTGTTACGAATGCCTAACCACCGACTGCCTCGACAAGCTATGTTTTGTGGTGTAGGAGTAAGTTGGCAGAAAGCTAGGCGCGGCTAGAACAAAACGTGGCAGAAATCCATGACGTCACTGACAAGTGGACTGAGTCATGTTGGTAGATGTAGGCTATCACGTGGTTGGGGTCAATGAGGCGAAAGTCACCAATGGTTAGAGACCTTAAACGACATGGCTCAGAATCGTTTGCAATGGCGCAGGAGCATCCACTCTTCGTGTGCTTTTTAATTCTAACCTTCTGAATTCCTCATAATATCTATCTTTCTCCATCTAAATTTATCTTGCTGAATTATACTTTTCGAATTATATCTTTGCTCCCTAATCTTCTCCATTGCTACTAATAATTCTACTATCGCTATCACTTTTGGATTTGAACTGACAGTTACGTCTCTGTGCTGACGTGGTATGGCAACCTGAACTGATGTACGAAGTTCTGTGTTGTATCTGTCTGTCTGTCTGTTTAACTGACTTACTCCTATATGGCCACTGTAAAATAGTAACCTGAAATATAACAGAGTGATGAGTGTCTAAGGTCTAATAACGATCCTTCAGATTCATTCCCAAAAGCATAGAATATTACCTTAAATTTGAAAGGAGAGAAAAGAGCAATATTTTCGCCTAGGATGAAAAGTGTTGCAATTCTAAAGTAACAAGGCAAACGTGACAGTTTTCAACTTTACACTTCTTGTGAAACTCAAAAAGTACAAACGTGTATGAAATCAATCTTTTCATGATACATTAAGCTAAATAGCTTATTATACAATAGAACTAAAGTTTGAGATTATTTTTCTGCACGTTTGTCATGACCGAAATACATTTTTTCGAAAGAGTAAAAGAAGCGACGAACTCGGAAACGATTTAGAGATTATAAACTTTTTGAGTACTGTATTAGATTACACTCTGAAATACCCAAACTGAAGAAAAGTTGCAAAAATCGTATTTTTGAAGGTATATAACAGCCGAAATTCTTAAATTAAACATATATACAAGAATTCAGTTAAGTTTTTAATAAATTAGGACGAACGTCAATAATCCGAAGGATAGTAACATTTTCTTGGAATACTAAAAATAACGTGAAAAGAAAATACTTATTTACCTCGGAGTTTGTGATGTCTACGGCGACGATGGAATTGGTACCACACTTTTGGATGTTCAAGAGTTTTTTCAATGACTACAGCCTCAATAAACACCTGATGCACTGGTAAAATTGGTCGACCGATGATAGTGAAGTCTGATGATCCCAAAAGTAAAACCTTCTGCAATTGAACACGATCACCAACATCAGTTCCATAAAACGGTGTTTTGACCATAATTAAGTCGTTGTTAGTTACTTTGAACTGCTTTCCTGCAATAGCTACGACAGCAAAGTACTGAGAACCATTTTCAGATATGGAAGTATTAACTGCATCATAGATACCTACAGAAAATGAACTATAAATATTATTGTCAGTCAACATAGCAAGAAAAAAGGCTCTTACAATATTAATGTATTTTATAGTTTTGTAACTCTAGTTGCTATTTTGATGTAGTTGTAGAGCTTGTATATTGTGATCACTCAATCAGACTAAATTGGATGGAACATTCGCTTTTTTACGTCCTATTATGCCAGACAGGTAGGTTGAAGAGCGCTAGGATAAAAAGTAACGAACTCATTGGTCGGGGAGAAAGTCGTCACGTATACTATATGAGGATGTAACGGAAGTAAGGAGGTTCCTTCAAGCAACCAGAATCTGTAACTATGCTACCTTTCCATACCGCGAGGAGGTAGGCTGGAAAAGAAGATCATGAAAGTAGCGCACATCTCCTTGCCCTATGGACTTCCGTCACAAGAGATAAGACCAGTAAATGAGAGAGCTAAATAATCGAGGGGCACTCAAAAAGGTGATGCGTGATAGACCTCAAGCAATTAGGGTTTGCACGTTGGGGTCACGCTCTCAGGTCGTAAAACCTAATTTAAACCCAGTTTCCTTTGTAAGTAACTTAAGAATACATATTTACCTACGAGTTCGGTGACCGGATTAAGAAGTCACCTCCTTATGATTAAAATTTCTTCATTTTTCTACTTTCAGGCATCACACTATCTTAAACTTCTTTCAACAGTGGGAACAATTTAAACTTTAAAACGCTATTTCATGTCTCTAAACTACATTTTGGAGCATTTGAAGTCCAAAAATTGTTAAACAAAACAATAGGCCTCACTAGCTAAAACCTCAGAATATGTGACATTCATGTCGTGTCACCAAAGTATAAAGGAACCTAAAGTGGTCATTGACTTGACCTGATCTGTAAAGTGTGGAGAGCCAAGGTTTCATACATCTAGAGTTGTGATAGAAAATCTTCATGATTTCTATAGTGTATGTATAGCTAGATGTTTGAGAGAAAAACAGCTATATCTTGACTAGGCTAGCCACCTATGTGCTATCCATATCAGTAACACAGTAAGAACTTGAAAAGATAGGGAAAAACGTCAGTGTTGCCTAATTGTTTCTGCCAACACAACCACCTACCAGAACTCGGATGGAGTAAAAGATAAATCTTGGAGGGAACCTTCTGTCTCTCGTCAGAAAGTCAAATGCTGATATGCTGTGGTGATAAGAACTGACGACGCAAACCAGCTCAACTAAGTTAATAAGTAAGAAAAAGGTAGGGTTTGAAGAGTCTCAGCACAGCGATGAAATAAAGTGATCAACTGTTAAATTATGTTACTAGTAAGTAGAATCTCTAAACACAAGTCATTCAGTCAATTACAACGTAGAACTTCGAACGTACGTACATCATTTCAGGTTGCCATACTGCATTAGCACAGAGACGCAATTGTCAGTTCAAACCACATAATGGTAGAGATAGTAAAAGTATTAACAGTCAAAGAGATTAACGTTCGAAGATACTATTCAAGAAAAGTAATTCGGTAAGATAACCTGAGGAAAAGGAAGATAGAGGTGATGAGGTATTCTGAAGATCAGGATTTCGGAAAACAGAAAGAATGAATGCACCTCAACCAGGTAGCCTGCATATACCAACATGACTAAGTCTATGTGTCACTGATATCATGGATTTCTGCCACGTTTCCGTTTGGTCACCACTAGCTCTCTTCCAACCCACTCCTACACCACGAAACATCGCTCGTCGAGGCAGTTGGTGGTTAGGCATAGGCAACACATGTCCCAACCACCTCAACTGATTAGGTTTCAAAACTTCATCCATTGATTTGCCAACCCTACCTAGAACGCTTGTCCTAACAACAGCATACACGGAGACGCCTATGACCGATGACAGAAAATCTACGAACGTCCTATAGTCTCATCGGCTATGTTTCACATCCGTATAGTAGGACGGAGCGAACTGCTGCAAAGTACACTCATCTTTCGGTTAGCGAACGGATATCGGGCCTACGCCATAAGTGACGAAGTTTGGCAAAAGTCAGTCGAGCTTTCTGTATCCGTGCTGAGATTCCGTCAGTCACCAAGCCTTCAGCACTGATCAATCTCCCAAGATAAGAGAAGTGGTCAACACGCTCAACTACATCACTCCCTATCACTCAATCAATCGCAGCGTAGAACTTCGTACATACGTACGTCAGTTCATGTTGCCATACCACATTAGAACAGAGATGTAATTGTGGATTGAAATCCAATAGTAGTAGAGGTATTAAAGGTATTAGCAGTAACCGTAGAGGTAAGGATTAGAACATATTATTCAAGAAGTAGAATCTAGTGAAATAGTCTTAAGAAGATAGGGATAAAGTGATGAAGAATTAAAAAGTTTAGGTTTTGAAAGAACACAAAGAATTAATACATGCGCTATTGCAAACTGTTCAGAGCTATATCACTCACGGCTTTTAACCATCGATTACTAACATATCGCGGACCCCAAGCAGGTAGTCCACAACTACCGACATAGCTCAGTCCACTTGTCCGTAACTTGACGCATCTCAGCCATGTTTCGGTTTGGTCGCCCCTAGATTTCGTCCAACCTATTCCTACACCGCGAAAAATAAGTCGACGCGGCAGTCGGTGGTTAGGCATAGGCAGCACACGTCCCAACCAGGTCAATTGATGAAATTTCAGCACTTCATCTATTGATCGGCCATCCTTACCAAGCACCCGTTTCCTAACAACAGCATTGCTTACTCAGGTGTCCCACGATATACGAGCAATGCTTCGAAGACACCTATGATCGAAAACCAGTAACCTACGAATATCTTCTACTCTAACTGACCATGTTTCACAGCCATAAAGTAGGACAGAGCGAACTACTACGCAGTACACCCGTCCTTAGATCAGCAAACAGATATCTCGACCGCGCTACAGGTGACGCAGGTTGACAAAAGCCAATCGAGCCTTCTGTATCCGAGCTCAGATTTCCTCAGTCACCAGGCCATCAGCACTGATGAGATTCCTCAGATAAATGAAGCGCTCTACACGTTCGACTACTTCACTCCTTATCACTAGTTCAGGTGCCGATGAAACCCAGTGTTGAAGCAACAATTTGTATTTCGAGGGTGAGAACCGCATCCCGAACATGCTTGCATTGTTGCTTAGGGTAGTCAAAAGATTCTGTATTTTTTCAGCGTCTTCACTAAGTAGGACGATGTCATCGGCATATTGTAAGTCAATAAGCGAGCCATCTGGTAAAAGGTCTACTCCTGAAAATTCAGACGAGGATAGGGTTATTTCTAGCAGCATGTCAATGATAAAATTAAACAAGAATGGAGAGAGTGGACATCCCTGACGGACACCACTTGAAGTAAAGAATTCCGGTGACAGTTCGCCATAAGCTCTCACTCGACCAGTGGTGTTCGAGTGGAGAGCTTGTATGAGGTTAATGTACTTCTCTGGTACACCTTTCAATGACAGGTGCTGCCACAGAAACTCACGATCAACTGAGTCGAATGCCGCCTTAATGTCCAGGAATACAACTATGGTAGGACGCCTAATTGTGTGTCTGTGTTCCATGAACTGTCGTAGTGTGAAGATGTGGTCTATACAGCCACGTCCAGGTCGAAAACCAGACTGGTTTTCTCGAGTCTGCTCTTCACGAGCTTTCGTTAAGCGTCGAAGTATTACTGAGGCTAATATTTTAGAAAGTATGTTAGTTAGAATTTTTCCCGTGATTGTCACAAGAGGACTTTTGTCGTTTCTCATAGATTGAGACAATCAGTGATTGAGACCAGTCGGATGGGATTATGTCCTGTTCCCAGATTCTATATAAGATCTCAGTCAACCTAGCTGCTAAAACTGGACCACCATCCTTGAATATCTCAGGGGTCAGTCTATCAGGACCTGCAGCTCGCCCTCGTTTCAGATTTCCTAACGCTTTCTTAACTTCATTAAGACTAGGGGGACTTACGTCAATTTGCCATTCAGGATGACTGGAGATCGTGAGTAATCGAAGTGTGGCTGAAGGCCAGTTGAACTGACCGCTAAAGTGTTCTGCCCATCGGTCCAGTCTCCTGGATTGAGAATGGATAATAAGACTATCTTTTTCCGAAATAGTCTCACTCACAGTATGGTTCCTAATACCGGTTTCCTTTATTATGCGGAACAACTGTCTATTGCCGCTGCCTTTTCCATCTCTCTCGCTTTCGCCACCCACCAGTGTTCTCGATTATTGCGTAGGCTTTTTATCAGCCTGCATCTAAGCTGACTCCGCTCTTCATCGCACTCAGAGCCAGGCGAGATAAGCTTTTGAGCATCCATCAGTTCCGTAGATGATACTGAGATACAAGCCTTCCTCCTAGACTTATGGTTTACATTACAAGAAGATATCACTGCCGTTTCCACAGCCTTTTTGATATCATTCCAACCTACTTCCGGATGGGATTCGCTTACATGGTCACCTAACTGTTTTTCTTATTGTTCCTGAGATATGTACTTAGCTATGTCATCATCAGGCAGAGTCAGTTACAATTTAGAACTTCGTACATCAGTACATAAGTTCAGGTTGCCATACCGCATTTGCACAGAGATGCTACTGTTAGTTCAAATCCATGAGCAGGAATGGGTAAGATTAGGGTTTGAAGATAAAATTCGTGAAGTATAATTCAGCGAAATAAATTTAGAGAGAGAAAGATAGACAACAAACAATTGACGTCAAGTTTCCCTATCTTTCCGAGTCCTTACTATCCCGTTTAGTCGGACAGCGCACAAGCGACCATCTACTTGGATCTGGTCCATGAGCGCTAGTTCTGCCCTAGGACTCAATGCCATACCTACACCAGCGAGAACCCAGAAAGCAGCAGCAGGGCTTTCAGATACACGAAGAGTAAATTGAGTTGCTTCTTTATTTTGACATGGAGAGGTCAAGCGAATGAGGATCCTGAAAAAGACGGTATATTAATGTTGGTCTTAGAGACCTGGGAGCGTGATAGCAGAGTTCAAGGGACAACTGCTTTAGGCCGATCACACACGACCTTTT